GGTGAGGAGGGGGTGAGTGGGTGAGTGCTGCAAAGTCTGAGAATCAGAGAATCAGCTGCTTCAAGTTTAAAACCCAAAAGGATTTAATAACTAACGGGAGCCGGCTCTTCATAGCGGACTGTTCCCTCCTGTGTGAACAGGCTCTTTGTAGCAGACTGTTCCCTCCTGTGTGAACAGGCTCTTCCCTCCTGTGTGAACAGGCTCTTCCCTCCTGTGTGAACAGGCTCTTCCCTCCTGTGTGAACAGGCTCTTTGTAGCAGACTGTTCCCTCCTGTGTGAACAGCTGCTTCTATACAGCCAATGATTCTATCTTCGGCCTTTAAAGAATCTTCAACATAATATGGCATATATATTATATGCCATATTACCATCTACTCATAGCATAACATTATATTACTAATATCACAAGCATTTCGTACAGCCTAAAGTCACAAATCTGCACACATACGTCATCCTCTGAGGAAGGGAAGAAGACGCAGATCTGCAATGGATGTCAAGTGTACAGCATTGAATGACGTAAAAGAAACGTACAATACGTTCAATTCATACAAAAGGAATGATCCTAGTGTGTGTACTACATCACACATACTATGATGATGGAGCGCTTTCACTCCCTCAAACATGACTGCTGGAATACGTTTATTTGCTGGATCCCCGTTGGCCGCTGACGCGTAGGACCTGTTCTGTGTGTTCATCCTCCAGACTGAGATGACCGATGCAGATTATATTGCAGCTTTTCAACAACTCTTACTCCCTGTAGCTTACGAGGTAAAACACACAAACCTACAGAATCACATAGAGACATAAACACACACACACACTCCCAGTATAACGTGTGTGTGTGTTTGTAGTTTCATCCTCAGCTGGTTCTGGTCTCTGCTGGATTTGATGCTGCAGTTGGAGATCAGAAGGTAAAAACACATGAAATCAGTGACAGTAAATATAACATTGAATAGATATTTGAACTTCTTATTGTGTGTGTGTGTGTGTGTGTGTGTGTGTGTGCGCGCTCAGGGAGAGATGTGTGTCTCTCCTCAGTGTTTTCATATCCTCACTCACATGCTGATGAGTTTGGCTGAAGGTCGACTTATTTTAGTTCTGGAGGTAAAAACACTCTGTTTCACATCATTGTTGTATAAATTATGTTATTTTGTGTGTAATATATATATATATATATGTGTGAATCCTAGTAACAACAATGCTAGTGTGGATCATTATTTGTCTTTAGGGAGGTTATAACCTTCAGTCCACGGCGGCGAGCGCTGCAGCCTGTGTCAGAGCTCTGCTGGGAGGAGCCTGTCCTCCTCTGACTCCGCCCACCGCTCCCTCTGACAGGTGAAACACAGAACACCTGAGTCACACCGGAGTTCATCGGTCACGCTGTTGATGTGTAACTGTCTGCCCGTCTGTGTGTCAGCGCTCTGCGGTCCATCTCTCAGACGGCCTCCGCTCTGTATCCTCACTGGGCTTCTCTGCAGACGCTGGGTGAGACGCCGCTCATCACGCCCGCTTCTCGTCCAATGACGTGTGAGCAGACTTCTGCTCTGTGTTGTCGTCCAATGACATGAGCTGACTCACCCCCCCTGTTAATGCCACTGGTCAGGAGGCGGCCCACTGGCTGAGGGGCGTGTCATGAGGGCGACAACCAATCAGCACATCACAAAACAGATGGACCCGGCTCCCTTTGTTGCCACGGTGACGGGTCTTGTTTACGACGAGCGGATGATGGAGCACCAGAACATGTGGGACAGGTGGGACGTCGCACAAAATGTACACTGTCTAAGAGTACCTATGACAGAAAGTACTACATGCTTTGTAAGCGTGGAAAACCTGCAAAATCGTCAGTGTATCAAATACTTCTGTACAGCCTGCAATAATGTACTCATTGAGTGTACTTGTACATACAAGTTAACTCTGATTCCCTTGGCAGAAATCATCCTGAACAGCCTCAGAGAATCTTCAAAATCTTCTCCAAACATCAGCAGCTGGGATTGGTTGATCGATGCCAACGGATAGAAGCTCGCCTAGCAACAGAGGAGGAGCTGTCCAGGTGTCACAGGTACACAGCGCCTTGTATAAGTATTCACCGGGCTTGGACTTGGACTAAATTTAGTACGGTATAACCCCGGATTCACATGTACTTCATCTAAATGCAAATGCAAGTATTCACCCCTTTGGTGTAAAACTCGTCACCTGCTCAGGCAACCGAGCTGCCTTCAATCTGCTGATTTCTGACCCGGCTCCTCCTCCACGCCACGATGATTGGATGTGGCCAGCTGAGCATTTTTATTCTCCTCCCGCACCGTCGATCAGAGGGCGCTAGCATGGCGCTAGCTAGCATTGCACTAGTAATAACAGGACCCACCTGCTGACAAGTGGCTAAAATGGTCACGTCTTTAGCTTGCTAGCTAGCCTTGGTGGCTGGTCTTTCCCGCTCAGGCACCTGCAGGCCGTCAGGAAACACTCAACATGACGGCAGAATTCAGTAGTTCTAGAGGCGACCGGTGATGACGGTTGTGTCTTCAGTGAGGTTTTAGCGTAGTTGTGTTGCCTGTTTCTGTTATCAGAGTTTCTAAACACTGACAACTTTAAGCCGAAAAGTCGACGTTTTCGGCTTAAAGCCAAAACGTTGCGTCCATTCATGTTTATGCTGATTGTCTCTGCTGGAGAGACAGAAGAACACGGTGGGTTCACGCCTTCTTCCCCTGTGTGTGTCTGTGTGCGTGTGCAGAGGCGCTGTGTAAGCCTTGGACAAAGGAAGCAGAAAGGACTAAAACGTTGGCGCCGTTGTTGTGCGACGCGTCACTGTGTGGCTTCTCCTCCTCGGTCCAACACTTACTTCATTCCTCTCACGCTGCATGGTGGAGACGTTCCCCTCGGGACGAGATGTTGGACGTGCAGGGGGGCGATTCCAGTTCCAGTTCAAACTGTACAAAATGGGGAAAGCGCCCAGGGGGTGGAAACGTTTGCATGGCACTCTACATATGTGTATAATGTGTGTGCGTGTGTGTGTGTGTGTGTGCGCGCAGTGTACAGCACATCCAGCAGATGAAGGCCACTGCAGGGATGAAGCCCAGAGATCTGCACAAACTGGGTCAAGAGTTCAACTCCATCTTCATCAACACGCAGAGCTTCCAGTCGGCTCTGCTGGCAGCTGGAGGGTGTTTCAGTGCTGTGGAGAGAGTCCTCTCAGGACAGGTGACTCTCTCACAGTACAAATACTACGCTAGAAGCACTACAGATACTCTCAGTATCCTATAAATACTTCTGAATATGCAGCATAGTATAGATAACACAGTGCCTTTTGTACAGAATAATTACCACAGTATCTAATTACTGGACAGTATAAATATATCTCAGTACTTGCTGGCTGAGGAGAAAAGGTGATGTCGTAATCTTCACAATTAACCTTCTCAGCCAATCAGCGTTGAGATCACCGCGTCTTCATTTCCCTCCTTCATCCCTTTACTGCAAGTGAATTTACCACCGCTACTGTATTATTATTATTATTATTATTATTATTATTAATATTGTCACTGTGTTTTGGTGCAATCTGTGATCTCTATCCGATCAGTTTGGTATTTGGGTCAGAGCGATCAATAGAGCGTCGTTGTTAAAGCTTGAGGGTTCATCACACGTGGATGTGGAGGCCAAACACGGTTTGTCTCCATGTGAAGTTTGTTTCATCAAACTGCAGCCAGCCGGGTTTGTACCACCGATCAGTGGCCGCGGACCGGTACCGGACCGCTGAGCCCCCCGTCAGCTTGTTATTCTGCACCCCCATTGTCCATTGTCACCTTTTCCACCCCTGCATACAGTATAACTAATACAGTACTTGTACAAACAAGAAAGTGTAATTTCACTGTAGATAAGAACCATTATGAGTCCAATGTAAGTGCTACAGTTAGTTAGTGTGTTAGTGGAGGAAGAGTCTGAAGAGGTGTGTCTTTAGTCTGAAGATGTGAAGGCTCTCTGTGGTCCTGATGTCTTCAGAGACCTCCTTCCACCATTTAGGAGCAGGACAGCAAAGAGTGGAGATCTAGTCGAGTGTTTTGCTCTCAGTGAGGAGGAACAAGCAGTTTATCACATGCAGAGCGGAGAGTGCGGGTCGGGTTGGACCAGGTCCTGGATGGAAGCTGGACCCCATCCATTCACAGCATGGTACGTGAGCACCATGTTTAGAACTGGGATTAGTTGGGTGTCATCAGCATAGCTGTGGTAGGAGAAGCCATGCGAGGGAATGACAGCGCATATAGTTGGTGTATAGCGAGAAGAGGAGGGGACCCAGGATGGAACCCTGAGGAACTCCAGTAAATACCACAGTACCCGTGCAGTGTAAATACCACAGTACCCGTGCAGTGTAAATACCACAGTACCCGTGCAGTTAAATACCACAGTACTCCTCTCAGGTGAGTAATGCCGTGGTCTACCGTTCGCCCTCTTGGTCATCACCCATAGAAAGACTCTCCAATGTGGATTCTGTTTTTTTCAATACTGCCGCTCTTCCTGCTTCGGCATGCTCATAAATAATCCCATGAAGCACCACTGCGGGTATTCATCCCTGGACTGGGATGTCCCCACGGTAACGGGACGCATTAATTAGTTTATGACTATACGTGCAGTTTTGAATATAATGAACGGATCTCTTTCATGTTTGTAAAAATTGTCTATGAAGATGGGGTTTACAATCCGTAACCATTACACATTAATTTCCTTTCTATGTTTTTTTATTTTG